GCATTAGTAGTGAGAAATAGGCAATTGATGGCAAAGTCAAGATGAAATGCTTCAATAAAAAAGAACTTCATGCCTGAGGCATACATTTTTTGCTAAAGTTGTGGTGGATATATATATATATTTTTTAAATAATAGTAATATAGTTTGCCTATTCTTGAAGTTTTTTAAATCTTCCACTGAGGAAAAATTGGACAGGCTAAATAAATTGGTTCACTGGATAATTAATTTACACAAACAAAACTAACATTGGCCCTTTGTCCTTCCTGTTAGGAGCGCCATCTGTATGAGCAGGCATGGACTGGTCAGTAAGGAACAGTGTCAGGGCCTCTTTGGATCATGTCTCTCTCTGGCTTCTAATGCCATTTGTCCAAAATGATTTCTGAAAACATCAAAACTCCCCGGTCCTGCTCAGCATGCCACCTTGCACCTCAGCCCAGGGAAGGGTTCTGCGTGGTTCTGAGCCACCAGGCAGATGGCAGCGTGGAGAATGGGGACCCAGAGGCCTGACTGCCCGTCCTGATCTTTCCTTGCAGACACAGCTTTGCATTTGTCAACTCGGAGAAGCCTCTTGTGTCTTAGAACTAGAAATCTTCGTTTAGCAACCGGGCCTCTCACCGTAGAGATGAGGGCAGTAACGTCCAGAGAGGTTAAGGAACTTGTCCAGGGTTGACACAGCAAATCAGTGAAGCTGAGGCTAACATTTCTCCTGGGCCTCAGACCAGGGTTCTTCCTGCAGTCCTGCTGTGGCCTCACTTTGTGGAGAGACGGTTGCTTCTCCTCACCCCTCTCTTACCCCCGACAGCTCTATCAGTGAATTCTGTCTACTGTCTCATGACATTCCTCAGTTCAAAGGAAACCCACCCTATGGTGTAATGGTTTCCATTCGTCCTGCTGTTTGGAAGAATGTTCTACCTGCATGTCAGTGCTGAGTTTTGAGCTCCTTTGAAGGAGGGTGTCCTGGTTGTTGGGACTCATCCAGGCAGAACCTGCTGAGCGGGCCAAAGAGGTTTTTTGCATCACTCGCTGTCAAATAAGGGCCGTATTGATTGGCACAGGGAAACTGAGGTCCAACATTCTCCCTCATGACACGGAGCTTCATATTAAAGGGTGTCAGGGAATTGATGTTGCTCTTCTCCAGGAACAAAAGTATTAAAATTTAGATGGGACTGAATAGCCAAGAAACTATAAGTAGATACTTTCCCATCTCCCCAGTCCCAGGAGCTGTGATCTACGAGTAGAAGATAAAGCTCACCAAGTCTCCAGGACAAAGAGAGAAAAAACACAGAGCAGCTAGGCATCAGCAGTCATTGGACCAAAATAAATCCTGAGATGGTTGATAATCTGATTATCTGGATCGATTTCTCTCTTTCCTTTTCCACCCCCTTAGGACTGAGCTAAACTTCCCCTTCAATGCAAACGGTATTAAGTGCCTTGTATTTAAAGAGCATGTCTGCAGACACTGGTTGAAACTAAGGCGAATCTTGGATTTGGTGGAGCTTGGGCATCATTAGAGTCAAGAAGAGTTGGATAAGAATTTGGGCTTTGCCACTTATTAGCCATTTGTCCTTGGGTAAATCCCCCTAACCTTTCTCAGCCTAAATTTCAACACCTTTACTAAGTAACTTTTAAGACTGAGAAATAAATTATATACTTTATTTTAAACAATACCAAGGACAGCGTTGATCATATGTAAGCGTTCTGAAAATGTTTGCCATTATAATGTATATAAACCCCTGGGAGCCCACTTTGGATTTTTTGGTAGGTCGGTACTCTTAGCATTTCACCAGAAACCATGACCAAAAAAAATTTGGAAGTAGTATGATTAGCTGATGTTGCAGAGCACCAACCTCCAGAATCAAACTCAGCTATTACAAATTTTCCTAACACAACAACAGAATGGGCTACAGAAGAGTATAGGCCCTAAGAATTTTTAAGTAAATGGTGGATGGTATAATTGGAATTTCTGCATCCTTAAAAAGCACTGGATTTTAGGATGCCCCACCTCAAGGACTCATTGATTCTTATTACTAAGTATTTGTGTGGCTTCAGCAATTTCTGATCCGTGCATTTATTTTAGAGCCCCTTTGTATCAGGAAGCTATAGCCACAATTTTTCTGCATAGCAAACCACCCAAACTCAGGGGATTACAACAATAAGCTCCTGAGTGGGCACATCAACTGAGGTTTGACCTATCTAGCTGTAGGTTGGGTCCCTTCTGCTCCAGATGTCTCTCACCCTCCTTGGAACAAAAACTATCTGATACAGGAGGGCAAGAGAAGAGGGTGAGCATGACCATGCAGGTACATTGAAAGCCTCTGCTCACATGATGTTCAGTATCCTCCCATTAGCCAGGCAAGTCACATGGCCAAGCCCAAAAGTCAAGGGGCGGACTCTCCGCCCACTGTGAGGCCAGGGCATAGAATTGGGTAAATATTAATACTATGGAGGAGTCGAGAATTGGGGACCAATGAACATTCTTCAACACCTCTGGTGTTGTAAACTATTGCTGCAATGTAATTCCCTTTCTGGTCACTTAAGGGGGTTGTCCTCTGGATCTGGCTGTAACCTCTGATAAATAATATACCTCCTGGCACATTGTGAACCCGCATGAGAAGATAGGTCTTCTTTAATAAATACATCCTTTTAAAATTCGGTGGTGTGATGAAATGACTACACAGAGCATAGAAGAAAAGAACTGTGGAGCATTCCTCAGCACAGCCAGTCCTTAAATCCAGCCCACGTCAGCAGAGACTGGAAATTACTGTCATCTAATGGCAAGTCAGGAGTCTAACTGAATTGAAATATTGGCTTCCCTCCAATTCCCAGTGATTTTGAGTCCATTCTATAAAAAGCATCAACGTAACTGATATATGTGGTTTCAGATAGCACACCGGATCGAAAGCATAGATTACTTTGAAAATATGACCATTTTTTTCTAGTAATAACTCTCCTTGACTGTCAGTAAGGAATACTCAGACTACTCTAAATCATTGGGTTAAGTTTAGGGGCAGTGAGGCAGGGCACTAGCTGAGATGATTAATATGAGTGTGGATGAAAAGTCTTCTTATCCTGTCTTTTAACAGAATGCAGGTCTTCAGAGACTAACCTTTATTCTTAGCATGATATATCCATCCACTCCCTAAAGGGCCAGGAGCTTAAGATTCTTTCTCATTATCACTACTTCTCAGGAAAATCCAGAAATAGCCAAAGGAAAGTGGTCTTCCTGCTTGACTGCTTTTCTGGGAATCTTATTGAGTGGTAGCACAGCCCAGGAGTTAGAAACCTGAGCCCTGAAGTCTGTGGCTGTGTTTAAACGCAACTGGGTAGCTGTGTGACTTTGAGACGGTTGTTTAACTTCTGTGGTGGTCATTGGTGCTGCTCACAGATGGTCAGTTCCCCTTTCCTGCTGGCACCCAGAAAACTGGACCCCCTGGCTCCTTTGTGGTAGCATGGTCCCATAGAACTAGTTTTGGCTAAAGAATTGTGAGCAAAGGTGTTATATATAACTTCTTGGCTATAACATTTAATAATCAATGCAAGATTCTCCAGAATTCTCTCTTGTCCCTCTAGCACAATGATGAGCAACATTCAAGATGGTGGCTGTTCCATCAGCCTGGGGTCTCAGAGTAACTACAATGAGCAGAGTCCCCCTGGTGACCTGTGATAGACTTGAAGCCTGAGAGAGAAATAAACTTGGTTGTACTCAGCCATTGTGATTTTGAGGGGTATTTGTTAGAAAAACCTAACCTGATTTACCCTGGTTTGATACCTGAAAAATGAGGATAACAGTGGAATCTAGCTTGTGAAGTAATCATGAAGATTAAATAGGATAATATGTGTATATACTTAGAATAATACCTAGCACATAGTAAATTCTTAATATATTTTAGCTATTGTATATTATTATTAAGTTATTCTGTATCCTAACCTAGTCTCTAATGACGTATTCATATCTATCAAACAAGTTGCCATGTGACTTCGAGAAATTCAACCTCAAATTGCAATACAACTATGTTAGACTAGATGGGCTCGAGTTTTAAATCTCTAGACTTAAAGTTATGTGCATCTTTTATGGATGCACTCAGAGGATCATCCTGGTGTTTCACAGATATTCTGTTGCTTAGGGGAACAAGATGTGTGATAAAACTAAACATCATCTTCTCTCCTTTTCCAGTTGCTCCTTACCCCCAAGTCCCCGAACAATAAGATCTATGTCCTTGTCACAGATTGTTCTGTATCCTATTCTGAAGCTTTCTGCCCAGGAAATTACATCTGGCTTGTAAATTCTTAGCTACAAATTGGTTTCCCAATATATGCACCTACATCCTTAGTAATCCATCTTCTCTCTCAGTTCTGTGTTCAACATATATACATAATATCTTGTTTTATTAATAAAATCTCACTGGCTTCAAGCCACAGCCCACCATAGACTTTCTTTTGGCAGTGTGGTCTTCTTTAGTCCAAAAGGAGAAGATTCTGTCCTTGTTCCACTTTAATCCTGGCATAAGGTGACCACCCTCACACCACCACAACCAACCACTGAAACCTGTCCTCTAATTTCTCTGGATTAGAACTTTCCATGTCTTAATTTACAGTATGTATTTTTCTCCTGTGTGATTCTGCCTGGATCTTGCACTGGTCCCAAAGGCCAGATGGTTCATATTGTTCAGCCCATGTATAAACCAAATTTGGGGGAAAGGAGGAATTTCATTGCATACTGAATTACAAGTTGGATTTCATTAGGAATCCTAATATTTCTCCTTCCTTACCTTCTTGATCTAGGAGTCTGTTCTTGTAGACTATGCTTTATGCTCTTATATATAACCTCATGGCCTCCCCACCCACTCCCAGTGCTTGGTTTATTGCAGATCCTGCTACTATGTTTATTGGCTGTCTAGGTGGAGGCTTTTTTTTATATCTGTTGTTCATACATGTTCCTTTTGGCTATTAATAAACTATTACTTTATGGGAAGAAATGACACTTCTTTATCCTCTTTCAGATTGAAGACATCATTACAAAGATGCAAGATGACAAGACAGGTGGTGTGCCCATCAGAACAGTCAAGAGCTTTCTCTCCAAAATTCCCAGTGTTGTCACAGGTAAACATTCTCCTTACAAGTGTTGGTGGCAATAGGAAAGGCTGCTGAAGAGTTGTATATCTTGATTGTGCCCTGGGGTGTGTCTAAGAATTTGTGACTAGTAAAGATGATACATTCAATGTGCTTCTTAAACAAAGTCGAGTTCTGGTCATGGTTTCCAGAAGCTACTCTTTGCCAGTGATTCAGAAATGTCTTACCATGACCAGCCCTTCTGTGTACAGGTTGATGCTTCTGGAAAGAAACAAACTCACTAATGAATTGGATAGCCCATCAGCAATTTTGGCCTATGAGATGTACACAAGCACAGATATATTAAAGAAAGTATTTTAGTTTTAAACAAGCTTTAAGAAAGTCTCATGTTCAAATTCTACAAAATGCTTTTAAGTTTTTAACTCACGGTACTTGAACTCTTGAAAGAAGTGGTTTTAGAATATTTTTCTGCATTACTTTGAGGATTTTATGTGTTTTATATGCTCAGACATTTTTAAAATTAATTATGAAGTGTATCAAACACATGGTTATAGTTTCAGATATAATACTAAAACAGACCACCTGTGCCCAACATCCTGCTTCCTAAATAATGTGTCATCAGTATCTTAGAGCCCCTCGTGAGCCTAATGGATGACATCTGCCTCCCTTTCCACCACAAGTAACCACTATATACTTTTATCCTTATCAGTTTGTTGCTTTTCTTCATAATTTTACCACATGGGCATGCATCCCTTATATCTAAACAGATAACCAAATAAATTAAGATAAAATTTTAGGTAGTTCTCTCATCAAAATATAGCTATTTATTTGCTTTCCAAATTATAGAATAATTAAAATAAAAAATACTGACAATACAGGGGGCCCCTGGGTGGCTCAGTCGGTTAAGCGGCTGCCTTCGACTCAGGTCATGATCCCAGGGTCCTGGGATCGAGCCCCGCATCAGGCTCCCTGCTCAGCGGGAAGCCTGCTTCTCCCTCTCCCACTCCCCCTACTTGTGTTCCCTCTCTCGCTGTCTCTCTCTGTCAAATAAATAAATAAAATCTTAAAAAAAAAAAATACAATACCAAGTGTTGGTGAGGCTATTGAGCAACTGGAACTCTCACACGCTGCTGGTGGGAAGGTAAAAACGCAACTACTCTGGAAATTTCTTATAATGTTAGACAAATGCTTACCATATGACCCAGAAATCCCACTCCTTGGCATTTATCCAAGAGAAATGAAAATGTGCATTCAGATGAAAACTCGTATTTATAACAACTTTATTTTTAATCTCCAAAGCCTGTACACAACCCAAATGCCCTTTAATGTGTGAATGAATAAACAAACTATCGCTTCTCGGCCTTTTGGCTAAGATCAAGTGTAGAATGAATAAACAAACTGTGGTAGACCCATATTCATCAATAAAGAGGAGTGAGCTATTGATACAGGCACCAACTGAGATGAACCTCAGAGTTATTTTTCTGAGTGAAAGAAGCCAGTCTCAAAAGATTGCATGCTATATGATTCCATTTATATGATATTCTAAACAAGCCCAAAACTATAGTGATGGAGACAGATCAGTGGTTGCCAAAGATTGAGAGCTGAGGGAGCATATGACTATAAAGGGATCACACGAAGGAATTTTTTTAAATTTTTTATTGTTACGTTAATCCCCATACATCATTAGTTTTAGATATAGTGTTCCATGATTCATTGTTTGTGCATAACACCCAGTGCTCCATGCAGAACGTGCCCTCCTCAATACCCATCACCAGGCTAACCCTTCCTCCCACCCCCCTCCCCTCTAGAACCCTCAGTTTGTTTTTCAGAGTCCATCGTCTCTCATGGTTCGTTTCCCCCTCCGATTTCCCCCCCCCTTCATTCTTCCACTCCTGCTATCTTCTTTTTTTTTTTTTCTTAACATATATTGCATTATTTGTTTCAGAGGTACAGGTCTGTGATTCAACAGTCTTGCACAATTCATAGCGCTCACCATAGCACATACCCTCCCCGATGTCTATCACCCAGCCACCCCATCTCTCCCACCGCCCCCCCACTCCAGCAACCCTCAGTTTGTTTCCTGAGATTAAGAATTCCTCATATCAGTGAGGTCATATGATATATGTCTTTCTCTGATTGACTTATTTCACACGAAGGAATTTTATAAGGTTACAGTGGAACTATTCTGTATCCTGATTGTGGTGTAGTGGTAAAATTAATTTATATGTAGGTCAAAATTCATAGAACAGCACACCAGAAAAAAAAAAAGAGTCAATATTAGTATGTCACCTTAAAAAATAAATACATTCAACTGAGGTACCCATAAGTTTCCTAACTCATTATTCAGACTGTCACTGTTTGAACTCAGGTACCAAATAGATCTGGATAATGAAGGATGATTGTATTGTTAGTATGCTCTAATTTTGAAATTTATATAAATGGAATTATAATATTGGCTATAATATACTATATTTTTCATATATTTCTGGATTTTGCTTGATAAAATGTTGTTTAGCATTTTTAAATCTATTTTCATGGCAAGATTAGTTTGTTGTTTTTCTTACTTACCCTCCTTGCTGGTATCAAATTTATGCTAGACTCCTAAGATGAACCATGGAATATTTCTTTTGCTGATATTGTGTTGTTCTCTGAAAAATGTTTTTCTCTTTAATCTAGATTTTAGGTGTTTCATTTCAGTTATTTTATTTTTTTATTTCTAGAAGTTCCGTCTGGTTCTTTTTGCAGTATACTTGGTCATTCATTCAACACATATTTATTAGGTGCTTACTATGTTCTAAACATTGCTGGGCAGTGGGGATTCAGAAATAAATGAAACAAATCAAATTTTCTGCTCGTGGAATTTTAGATTCTAATGGAGGAAACAACAAAATAAATAAGGAAAATTTGCAGAATTTGAGGTAGTGATAAAAGCCAAAGAGACAAAGTGTGAACGGGCGATAGTAGTGTTGCAACTCTGGAACAGGTGGCCAAAAAATTCTCTGAGAAGGTAACATTTGAGTAAAGATGGAAGGAAGATGAAAGACTGAGTCATGTGGATATTGAGGAAAAGAGCATTCCAGAAAGCAAGTGCTAAGTCTCCAAGGCAGGCATGTTCTGGCGTACAAAAGTCAGTGAAAGAAACAGAAGGAGCAGCTGGAGACGAAGAGGAAAATCAGGAGGACATGGTTTCTTAGAAGCCAGATTCTCTAGAAAGTGTTTCAAGGAAGAATGGAGTGATCTACTGTGTCAAAAGCTGCTGACAGTCAAGTAAGATAAGCACTGAGAATCAACCTTTGAACTTAGCAACAATTGAATTCAACTGCTGACCTTGATAAGTGCACATTCCATGAAGCATTTGGGAAAGGGGATAGCAAAAAGCCTTATTGGAGTGGGTTCAAGTCAAAATGGGGGGAGAGTGATTTGAGGTAGTGAGTATAATTAATCTTTGAAGGAGTTTTCCTTAAAAGGAAGAAATGCAGTAAATATAGAGAGGTAAATGGAGTCAGGACATGTAGGTTTTTAAGTAATATGAAAGTGACAGTATGCTTATATGATGATGGCAATGACTCACTAGGGAGGGGAAAATGCTGCAGGAGATAGAGGAAAAATTTAAGAAGCGATATTGAGTAGGTAAGAGATTGAATCTAATGCACGTTAGTTGGATTGTTCTAGCTAGAAACATGTACAATTTATTCATAGGAAGACGAGTAGAGGCACAGTAGATGTACAGAGTTGCGAATAAGCATGGTGGGGTGGTGGTAGCTTGTAGGAGTCTCCTAATTGTTTCTATTTTCTTAGTAATATGGAAAGGAAAGAAAGTGGAAATGTTAGATTTGCGAAGAGATTAGAAGCTGTGAAATAGTCATCTAGGGGTGTAGAGAGGTTGTCTGGACTAAGGAAATAGAGTTTGACTGTGAGGTAGCATTAAGGACCCTCTTGAGATTATTAATATTTATGAATTTAAAAAGAGGCAATTCTTTCTCCAGCCACATTTAGCTCTCTGGATTTGGACATGTGTCAGGTAGAAAGCTGGACTTAATTAAGGCTATAGCAAGTATGAGAGTATAATAAATCAAGAGAGAGGCAAGAGAGTAACTGAAATGATTGACCATTAAATTTTAACTGAGTAAGGAGATGGAAGTGAAACATGAGATAGGTGAGGAATAGTGAAGAGTAGTGATGACCATAAACTTTACAGTCTGGTGGAAAAGAAGTTTTGGAGGCCAAAGTAAGAGCTAGAAATGTAGGGAGTGGTGATTGGATAGTGGAATGTTTGAAATTAGGATTATGGAGGGATTGCAATGTATTGGTGGTCACAAGATATGAGGTATGACCATGGGAATAAATGACTGAGATAGGATGGAGGTAGAAGAGAGGAGGTCAAGGAACTAAGGGGCCATGATTTGGGAAGACTGAACTATGTGGATATTGAAATCACTGCAGGGGGGATAGTTAGAGAGCGTGATTGTGAGTCTATGGTTAAAATCTTCATGGAATGAGAGAGCCCTAGGCATCAGTAGGTGACTTTCACAACAAGAGGTATAGGTGGTTTAATCTGATGTTATGAGAGCCAAAGCTAATTGTTTTTGGTAGAAGAGGCAGGGAATGAAGACAGTCTAAAAGAAGACATGAGAAGCTAGGTGTCACTTACCTGCCTTCAAACCTATGGTGTGTAAAGCATGGGAGGGAAAATAGCCACTGCCTCAGAGAGCTGTAGGAAACCAGGGCCATTGAGAAAGAACAAGAAGATGAAGGGAATATTAACTGAAAAGGATGAGGATATGAACAATTTTACGTATGATTGACCATGAGTTCCAGAAGGCAAGTGAAAGCCTTTCAGGAAATAGTATATATTTAACCTGGGTAATAAAAGTCCACAGTTGCTAGGTACCAGGCACTAGAGTAGTCACAGGAAATGTAAAGATAAATAAAAACCTAGTCTCTGCTTTTCAAAAACTGTTAATCTAATGAGAGAAACAGATACAGGTACACCAATAGTTATATGAGCTATGTGTTATGATAGAAAAAAT